TCCTTTATTCTTCAGAAGAAGTCTGACATCAACCAACCGACCCCTGAGGAGGCTTGGTTGGCCTAGACAGCGTAAAATCGAGGATTAGGCAACGGACCATGAGTGTGGTGGACGACGCCACTTTCTGACTCACCACTTGCACTCTTCGACTTTGACATAAGTTCGAAAAAGGGAAGCAGTAAAGCCGGTAAAGTTCTCAGACTACTGAAACTCACGATTTTTATGAAGAATGTCGGAAGACAGGTTCCCGCTGTAATGGTCATACAAACGTATTTATGGGGACGCTCAGAAAAATGGATGGTAGAATTTCGCGGGCATCGGGGAACATTGGTTGGGGATAGTAACGATGGTGGGAACCTTGTCGAGTACTTGGTAGCGTGCAATCACCGGTGAAAAATACCACTTACTCACAACTCTACCCCTTGGTGAAACTCGAGGTTCATACTACCGCTTCCAAGGATAGTTTCCCATCGTATCTACATCATGGTCGAACACTGAATGTTCCCATTTCCCAGGAACTTATTCGTAAAATCAGTGAAATTGTTTCCCACTGCATACTTCGGAATAAAGAACTCACTTTTCTCCGACCCGCTTGGTGGTGCACTCTGTCGCGCGTACAAAGCAGTACCTTGGAGATATAGAATGAGGCAATAGATTCTAGAGTTTCAATTCGCCCAACATCAGCACCCGAACACCCATTCTTCAGTAGATCCTTCCGATCTCTGATTTCGCGCTTTTCGAACCGAATTATGAACGGTCATGGAAAATCCACTTATTCATGGATAGGGGCCTCCGCTCAGTACACATATGCCTAGTTGCACTCTAGACTTCTTGAAACGAGGTCATGAGTTTTTTCCAATTTTTTCACTGTTCATTGGGGGACGTACTAAAGATGGCTCTACCTTGTCGGGCCTTGTAACCAGGTGCACACCTTGACCCAGCTTTACCCATCTTTTCCAAGCTTTGGGCTCCCTGGAGCGAAATTTAAATTCTTGTCTACACCGTCTCTACTAATGCAAGCCCCATAAATAGGGCTCCACTCGGGTCCACTCTTGACCCATAGCACATGCATTCCAAAGTTGAGTCTGTTTCTGCACATGACCCTTTAGCCAAAGCCACAGGTGCCAAGAGCACGGCCTCCCTTGAGTAAGGAAGCGGTGTCGCCAAACATAAGTGTCGTGACACTGCTCCTTATAAAAAAGCGCCGCATGGCCGCCTTTGTCCATTGTCCACACTGCCATTCTTATCAGCCGTGGCAGATCATCGGTGTCTGTGCCCTCTTGCGTACAATATGCTCTCTCGCGTTATCCCTCACAGTGCTGTCTCTCAATCATACCACAGCCGACTTTACAAAGGAAAGCGTCTGCAGGCTCTGTAGGCTCTGTAGGCTAGGGGCTCTATTTGCTTTTCTTCACCACTAACGTTCCTCATGGCAATTACTGTACAAAAACAGAAAACAGCTATACGAGGCAAAAGGTAGTAACATCTCTATGTCTGTCTTTTTTAGAAGATGATCAGTGTAGCGGCCATGGTACAATGGTTAACAGCCGATGTGTAATTGCCGAGCACCGGTCACACAGGCGATATTTGTCAATATCGAAGTAAGTGAAATAGGATTGATTTTGCGCCCAGTTGCTTGTTTCACTAGGTTGGAGCATATTTCGGACTGCTTTATATTTTGCCATAGAAATCTTTTGAGCGTTCATCGAAGTTTTGCAACGTGACTTTCGGCGTAGCGTTCACGTTTCCCTATTAAAAAACGTACCAGCTCATGTCGTTGTGCCGTTCTCTCTGGCTAAACTGCAGCCTCTAATAAAATTGCTTCGCCCTCTCTTGCAATGGCTATCCGACATTAATTACAAATAATAAATAAGTTTGGGATAAGCTCACCCCCAGGCCTCGGTAGTACACAGGGTTGCTTCACTTTACTCAGGATGGTTACGTTTCCATTCAAGATGTCACACTCTACTCACCCTATCAATAGCATTTTTAATGCCTATCCGACGCCGTAAGAAGAGATCGGTGACTCAGAGAGAATTCGATGCGACAGAGACGACGAAGTCGCACAGGGCACTTTGCAAAAACCTAGAGACCTCTGAAATCTAACAATGCCCTTAGCCCAAGTCAGCTTCAAGCACCAATCTGACATCGCATGTTCACACGTACTTTTTGCGTATCTTCGATAGGCCGTCCATTATCGCTACCGGTGACGGAGAGTAGGCGCTAAATGATTACCATTCCACAAGCGACAGTGTTAACTCCAAAGATTTGGGAGTCTGTGTGCAGTAGTTCTACCTCGCCGGAATTGGGAATCCTCGAACTCTTAGTGGAATACGACAGGACTTGGGATGTTAAAAGTTCTACGTGGAAATGCCTTAGTCAAAGCGGAAGCCAGCTTCATTTCAACGCTTTCAACTCGAGTGGAATACAAAGAGGGATCTGTTTTACCTTCATGTGACACTACTCACCACTCATTGCGAAGGAATTTCAGGAAAATGTGAAAACCTTCAAACAGTCAGTTGAATGCGCTTCATAGCCCTTACCTCGTAACGACATGCCCACTTGGTCCTCTGTCTAGTCAATCTCGTGGGAAAGAAATCTTACCTAGCTGCTACAATTTCGAAAACGACCATTTCATTAAGCGCATTGATAGTTGTTCAAGAAGGGCGAAGTTATGGATCATGAAAAACCACTGGGGATAGCACACTTTTTTGAGCAGCAGTAAAGAAAGTGGAAGAATTCTATCGTGGTAGTTGCTACCAGTTTGAAGTGCTGTAGATTACCATTGACACTCGTGCACTGTTACTTCACTCCCACCTAAAAAACAAATAATATGTAACTATAAATGAACTCTAATTTGAACGTCGTTTAGTATAACCCTCAAGGGTTTTGAGCTAAAGTCTACTATGTTGCATACAAACAGTAACTGATCCTGAACCTGATGATGAGCTTAATCAGTACGAGCATGAGTCTGTGAATGAAATCCTGTTCAAAGTATTCTTTAGCTTTTTCCTCATTCATTCGATGCATGCTCCTGCAGCATCTTCTATGTGCTAGGAGCAATTTCAGCTTGTATCGATTATTTGACTTTCCAGCCAATTGCCATCTGGATGAAGATTGCCTCAATGGAGGCAAGTGTATGAAGGAGCCTAACTCGATCACTTCTGCCAGTTGCTATTGTACATATGGATTCTTTGGCAAGAACTGCGAACAGAGTACGTCAATATTCAACTCCTTTGGCTCTTGAACCTACAAAATATCCGACAGATGTGGCAATGAATACTGCTCGGTACTTACCAACCAACACGCTGGTGGAGGGGGGCGGTGGGGGGGGGGGGGGGGGGGGGGAGTGGCACAACAAGCTGAAATTTTGAAAACTTTGATCCTATGATGACCAGAGATCCATTTATACAGTTTACTTACGAGGGGTCTTTCAGAACATGGAGGGTTTTTTTTTCGAAATGTAATGTTGTAGAAACTCATGTAAGGAAAACGGAACTCCTGTCCATTTTTCCTGAACGCCTTCAGAAGGTCAAAAGAAATGGTCAAAGTTCGATCCTCCGTGATGACAAATTTTTGCAATTTGCATTGGCGCCTCCTAGAACACGACAATGACATCTATTCTCGACGATGGCGCCAACTGGCGGCAACAAACTATATTGCAAAAATTAGTCATCACCGGGGATCGAACTCTGGACCATTTCTTCACCACTGTTTTGACATTCCTGGAGGCGTTCAGGAAAATGGACCATGGTTCTGTGTTCCTCACATGAGCCCCTACAACATGCAGAAACCATTTCGAAAGCGCTCCATGCCCTGAAAGACCTCTTTTATTAGTCGCAACATTGAAGGCAGTGAGCACGATAATTTGCATGCACCGCGTATTACGTATGTCCGTCAATGGAAGTGGTAATCAGGCCGCAAAAAAAACGTGGTGTAGCGTTAATATTCGCGATTATTACTGTAATTATCGTTCGATTGTCACTTGAAACACATTGAAAACAGCGCGCTTGGACTTTCTTAGGGACAGAAGCGACTGCAGGTACCCGGCCCTACTCTTTACATCCGTTTATTGTGTTTTAGATGTACTCAAAAAGAATGTCACAAAGCGCTCTGAGCAGTGATAAAAGCACGGAGATAGAGATGTAACATTATGATTTTGTCCAAAAAGACGTGCAATGAACGTCTGCCGTAAACGGTTGAGCTATAAGTCTCTTGGAGTCTTTCTCTCGGACCGTTCTTATTGAAGCCTGGGCATGGGTATGCACTCGTACAAGGAAGACAGCTAAAAACAAAAATTAGCAACATTGGCTGCAGATGACGTTATAGGTACTTCTACATGTTACACTTATACTATGCTTTCAAAAAGCAGATGTGTATCGAGTGCAGACCACACACGCAAGCGACGACGGCCTTGAAGTAAATCTGATTACTAGTGATAGTTGATAAATGATAGTTGTAATTAGTGACAACTGATAGAATACAACTGCAACAGGCTAATCATTTCACCGGCAGAAAAATTTACATTTTGTGAAGGCGTCACTTGTGGTGTATGGTCTGCACTCGATGTACATCTGATTTTCGGAAGCAGAGGGTAGATTGTTCTGCTGCAACGCATGTGCTATGATCCGTAGAGTTTGTACTTACCTCCACTATACATTTTTATATGAATGTTTGTGGCAAGAAAAGAAAACGAGAACGGAATTGAATCGAAAATTCATAAGATACAATGTGTAGAATAAATATAAGGAACTTGGGAAGAAGGAGCGTATGCGAGGAATAAATGTCGAACAAGATAATGACGCGCAAGCGCGTCAGCTGTTCTCAAAGCGTTGAAGCGCGTTTTGGATTGAACAGCCTTAATTAATGTACACTGGTGTGCAAAACTTAAGGACGAACCTAAATTTTCCGTGACGTATTACTGCCGAGTAAAACAGCTCTATAGAACCTAACCACACATATAAAGAACTGTTCCAGTATAGTACAAAAAGCAAATAACAGGAACCGTTAAAAGGTCCACAAAGCTATAATAAGTTAGGTTACTTCATTTATCTCGTCCTTAAGTTTTGCACACCAGTGTATTATAATTATGTCATGTAATGTCAGGTTTCCCTACCCACAGACTGCTTTAGAGTCATCACCTCGTTCAAGAGCAAACAAATTGAGAGTCCCACTTCGCGAATTTTGGCTTGGTTCTGGCTTTATCTTCACTTCTGCATAAATTAAAACAGTTCTCCAAGTTTTTGTTCAACATCAAATTTTCGTGCTCACTCATTGCCTTTAAACAAGGATCAAAAACGTGTCGTGGTTCGCCCACCGAAAATAAATGGTATCGAGGTATCACATAGGCTATCGACTAAAAACAGGTCCACTATCCCTTCTGCCAGCGGTGAAGATTTGTGATTCTTCAGCCGTCGAAACATTGGTGATTGGATGAAATGGGAGCTTTTCATAAAAAGAAGATTAGACGAAAAGCGATTTCTCGGCTCATGGGATGCTTCGACCCAGCGCGCTTCAATACAAGATAAATTCAGTGCACAATGACTACGTGTAATTATCGTAAAAATTAATGCGGTTCTCTCTACATAATTTCTCCCTCATAATCCCTCACTATGAATAGTCACGATCAAATTAATCATGCCGTACACCATTCTATGCCTGTGGAACAAAGGCATTTTTTTTTACAGAATGCGTTTGAAAATTATTTGGATTATGACTTACGAGGAGTTATATGAGCTGGTTCCATCGGTGGCAGAAGCTCTTGGAGATGCCATCTTGCAGACCTGAAATTTCCGAAGCCTTCGAAGGTTGAGTAACTACCTATATTGCAAATAGTAGAACCTTTCATAAATATTTGTCCAGCTCCTACCTGCAACTACTTACTTCCGCTGAGTGCTAGAGAAAGTGTATCGGTGTGCCCAAATGCGTAGGTGTATGGTTTGGTTGTTTGAATGGTGTCGTTTTTGGCATTTTCGGGCGATTCCAAGTTTTCGCAGAAGTTATGGTGTGGGGGGGGGGGGGAATAAAAAAAGACATTTTGTCTCCACTTTCAGATGGATTTAAGCACACTTTGCTCAATTCAGACCGAATGGTTCCCAACTTATTATTAAAGAGCGCATTCCATTCTATAAGAAAATCTTCATGGTGGCCACCTACGTGGACGGCATCAGAAGAATTTGCCCTGGAAACATGGTGCACTGGTCGAGCTCAATGGGGTCTTCGAAGGATCGTGTACCATAACGACCTTTACTGAGAAAGCTAGTTTCAAGGGGCTTGCACAGTGGGGCTAATGTCTCTAGGAAACTATCTGACATTCGGTTTACGAAATTATGTAAGCGCTCCAGGCTGAAACAGTTACGGTAGCCCTCCTTGAGCTTGACGACGATGACAGCGAATATTCTGAAGACGAGTGAGAGCAGGGAAGAAGCCAGCATCTGCCACTAGAGGACGTTTTTAGGGAATATTTTGCTGAAGGAACTTCATCACGACATGCGAATCTCTGGTGCGAACAAAAGCCAAATGCGACATGGCAAAATGTCTGTTTGTCGGCCTCCCCTGCATTCATTTCACAGTGTGATTTCCCGTTCTATAACATTTATTGTATCTTTGCCATATACACTCTGGACTAAATGAAGAACAGGCTTGCATGACAGGATCTATAGTAGAGAAAAAATTAGGAAAAAAATTGTCAATTTTTACCTTTGTTTGTTGGAGGTAAATCAATCAGTGAGACTAACCAATTCAAGTAGCTACAACTTGCTCAAAAATTCTCCTACTTGGACGTCGCAAGCAAACTCTGTCCTCTTATTCAAGTTTCGCCTATCACCAGAACTCGTCGAATCTAAACCCGCAGGTTTCACCGCGACGACTCAAAATTAAAGGAATCTTGCGCGGAAAATTCTTGCACTCTTTCCTAACATGAATATGTCAGTTGTGATCACTGGAAATAGCACACAAAGTTTCACGCATGAAGATTCGGTTTCTGAAGAGAAACAAACGTACAAAAACTACACGTTATGGACCATCGAAGGACCAGGAGGCAGAGCCAGGCGAGGCATGGAAAGAAGACGGCGTTTGGCCGGCTACGTACCAGGCGACGCAATGAGAGAATCGGGTTAAAGCGCGCGATTTCGGAGAGTGGAGACAAATCGATCGATGGAATAGGATGGAGTAGAAGTGTAAGATGTGAATGCAACGAAGCAAGGCCAGAAAGAGCTTCTAGTGAATGCACTCCAAGAACCAAGTTTGAGCATCCCCGTCGCCAGCATTCGTGAAAGACGTCCGTGGGCAATTCGAACGCGTAGCAGCCTTTTCGAGTTTTCGAATTTCTAATCAAAACGAAAGCAATACTTCAGTTCTTTTCACTATTATCGTGGATAATGAGTCTCAAGCCAGTGATTTATGGCTGAAATAGAATCATGATTTTTCCGCGCAAGATTCCTTTAAGGAATCTTTTGAAATTCGGTCTTTCTAAAACAGGCTCATCACTTACTTGATTTGCTTCATTTATTAGTTTTTTTTACTAATATCGTCATTCTCATTGAATGAGCGCCCTACTACGAAAGCCCAAAGTTCTACAAGAAATAAAACGTATGGCAAGGAAACATGAATGTAAAAGGGCAGAAGAAGTGCTTCCGAATGGCATGTATGATGTGAACACGGCAACTCAGAAGATCTGGTTTCAAATTTTAGTAGAGAAGAAATTGCTAGTGTTTAACGGCCAGTCAAAAAAAAAAGAGTTAAAAAGGGACCGATACGATTTTCTGAAGCAGTGAAAAGTGGAATATTAGGAAGAGGTCGTGAATAAGTGCAGTGTACATTACTAGTTGACTTCTTCCAGGAAGCATAGACTTCGGGTTAGTTACCGGTTTGGTTACTTTTTCGTCTGCTGAATCTCCCACTTTGCAAGTGTATTCCAGTCAGTTCACGATGAATATAAAAACGTCACGATTAGTCACAGAGAGCGGACAATTTTCTGACGGAACCCTCTACAAAAAATGTCTAGAACAGTTCTTTTGTTAGCGATACGCCATGCCGTAATAGTGAAATTCTGAACCCTCTCGAATTCCTTTCCTTAAAGGACGAATTCACGATGAAAAAGCAACCCATTTCAAATTAACCTAGGGATGGTGAGTGGTACACGAAAGAAGGAAGAACCATGAGAAACGGCCCAGAACCCGAGAAATGGGACCCCTTCCTTGCCCGTTGATTCGAGCATTGATGCGACTCTCATCGCTGTGCCCTCTTCAACACTACGCTCTCTCAGCTATCTAATCACTCGCCACGTATTGAACTACGGCGAGTGAGATGATCGGTGGGCGGAGATCGCCGGACCCGCCAGCTTTGAGGCATGATAGGTCGCCGAGGTCAAATTTTTCCATGCGAATTGCGCGTCAGTTCGCACCCTCAGGAGGTCCGTGGGTCCCTCAACTAGGTCAGTTTCCCTTTCTTCGACCTTCATTCTAATCGTGAATTCCTCCTTTAAACTGTTCCTCCTTTGAAGTTGGGCATTAGGATTCACTCGTATCAAAGTGTGATTTCTTGACTTCTCTCTACGAGAAAGAAAAAAAAAAAAAAAGCCACAATCTGTGTCTCTGAACTTGACAGATTCCCGTGGTTCCCTCGATAGCCATGAACTTCTAGGCAATTCTACAGGTGTGCGTAGCAAACGATCAGCTGATGTGGAGATGCCACCGTTGACCGTGCCAACGTCGTCGCATCACTTACCTCAGGTCAGTTCGTGAAAATTTGAGAAACAATCAAGATCTTTCATATATGTACCTAGGCCTTGGACATCCTGTTAAGAGTAATTATGTTAAGTTCACACCAATTTCACACCTGATTGAACATCCTTGAGTTTAGGCGTTCAAAGGTTTGATACCCTACTTTCTAGCTTTTGTTTAGTTTTTGTTGAACTCATTCGAGTGCACCTCTCATTTCAAATAATAACTATTTCAAACATGCCTCTTCAGAAAACTGGAAGAGTTTTATATGTTTTTCATTCTTTTTATCAAAATTTTCAAGCTCTACATGTACATCATACGTATTCAAACCTCCTTATTCTGCTTCCTTTTAAAACTAGTTCGAAAAGCCGCGCGCAGCTCGCGATTTAGGCAAAACCTTTGGTCCTTTTGGACTAATAATGAAGTGGGGCGCAATGGTGCATATCTTAATAGCGATGGCAGCCTCGAAAGTAGTGTGAGAAATGGGTGGATATCGAAAGCTAAGAGCTTTAGTCAAGTACATCCGCCTAGAACAGTTCAGCAGCTTGATGCTGATTCTCAATTCATGTGCGGCCTCTATGTAGCTGTTTGGGGCAGGAAGGAGGGACGGGGGGAGGGGGTGGCAAAATTAAGAAAAAGTTAATCAGTAAATTGCCGCAAGAAATTGTTGTGAGAAGGGTAGTCCGACCTTTTCTGTGCAAAAAGCAATTCGTTTCTCGACCAAATTGTGATGTGGATGTAGAGCGGATTCTTTGTGAAGCTTGACAGAAGTTCCGATTAGGGATTGGAACCACGCCAAGCTATGAAATATCTTTCAAATCCGAAGAAGTGTGCAAGAAGAAAATTAAAACGGTTGAGCGAATTTCATATGAACTGATAGATTCGGGTTCCACGAATCCGGGAAACTTTTATGTGTTGACAAAAAAAGAAATTGAAGGAAAAAGCACGCAGTGTCGATCTAATCTTTTTTTGGGGTGCGCCTTCTAATTGTCGTGATGGCATTCGAAAGGGACATTTTACGATGACTTACAGGGGCCACCAATACACACGACAGGTATGGACGACTCATTGGCCTGGACTGCACCCTATTTGGGTTGTGACTCCCGAAACATGCCCGGATAGCTCGCGTCACTTGTCATTACACCATCTCTATCCGTACCATAGAAATTTTATTAACGAAGTTGAAATGTATACCTGGACTGCATTCCATGTATGCGGTGAAGTTCTACAAAAAGAGGCCATCGCGTTGACCAGGACTGACCTGACCTACGAAGGGTCAGGAACTTTCGGGAAAAAGAAAATTGCTCAC